ATACAAATTTGTCCAATTGTAATATTAATTTTTTAAAAAATTAAAAGCTTCCAGAACAAAAATTAAAATTATTTTCAAAAAATAGTTTTTACTAGGTACTACATTGAATAGATTTGCATACGTAGATATAATTGGCGTACCTATATGGAAATTTTTTACATTTTTACAGTTGAAAGTTTTTTTATTTTTCCAAATACCGAAAAAACGAAAAAACTGCGTCCAGTTGGCTTAGAAATGTTAACTACATTTCAAAGCCTGACGGTATTTTTTTTCGATCACATTGTACTTGAGCCACAAATGGAACAAAATATACAATCACGTGGAAAGTGGGAAAGATACATAATAATCTGTTTAAATTGAGGAACTGTATATCTGCCTTGGTGTTATATTGCATGAAATTTGGACAAAATTAAACTAACACAAATATGATAACATCTTTAAAATATGCAGTGTGTTGTTTTTAAGTTATTACAAAAAATACAAAACAAAACTCAGATGAATGATAAAATGATAATGAACGATTAGGTATAAAACAGCCAATTTTGAGAATAATCTAAAGGGTTTAAATTTCTACCCATGCACCCATAACATTAAATTTTGATATTATAAGATAACACCAGGAAGCTGTTTAACATTCAATTAACTATTTAATATGAAACTTATAGTATCGTTTCTCCTCTATCAAAATGTTAACAAGCTATTCCCAAAGTCATCTTTGTTCAAATTTTTCAAAGAGTGAGATACGAAAATCACAGAAAAGATAACATTAAGTTCGATCCACATTCAAGGGTTGCTAGGGTCAAGCGCCATGTCAAACATAAAATAGTTCAAATAACTTTAAAACCAATCAACATTTAACACCAACCACAAATAACTTACAATTATTGTTTTCCCCGGATTTGTGCTGTTTTAAATAAATATTTGCGCAGTAACATATTCTTGAAAAAAGGTATTGTTTAATAGGATTAAAATATGGGTTTGGCATGAAATAAATTATATTTTCCTCTATTTGATGCCAAACAGATATTAGTTATCTATCAGTTACCGTTGACACGAATAATACTAATTTATAATTATTCTTAAAATAAGTGAGATTAAAAACATGCATTGATAATTTGAAATAAATAAAATTCAAATTTGGCACTGTAGACAAGGTACAAATAGTTAGTATTGAAATAATTGGCTAATAACAATATTTTTTTTCTATTTTTCCTACTTAGTTAGATAACACAGTAGGTATCTAATTAGTGTAGGATATTAGAGTTTCAAATATTACATTCAAGGTATAGAAACTACTATAGAAATAACTTTATAATTATATCAAGTTAGGTAGGTAAGACCGTTCAGCCATCTTTCACCGTTACGTCATCATTATTTGTCAAATATGAGTTTTATGGTGTGTCTGAGATCAGTTCATATTGTTTAGAAAATTTTAAATAAATTTTTTCTTGAACTCTTACAAATATTATATAATATAAAAAATTATAAATAATTACTAAATAGCTATTTATGTAACAAGTTGCGAAATGAATATGTTTTAAGCTTTGGTTTTAAGCACGGGATGCAAAATTGTCGAAAGGCGAAAGCCGAGTTGGACAATGCATCGAGTGCTTAAAACACTCTTTCATTTCATACAAGATTTTTTGTGAAAGCGGACAATTTGAGATTTTCATGCTATTATTATTATTTATTTTTAAACATTTTTTAAAATGCTCTGGTAATCGGTTTCTAAGGCATTGTTTAGGCATTGTTTAATGACAGTTAATGACAAAGTTCTGTCAGGTTCAAACATCCCCGTATTTCCTACAAAGTTTTGTGAAAAAATCAGTGATAATGACGAGTCTTTGGATATTCAACAAGCTGCTGAAATTGCGCTATCCACGTTAGTGCCCGAAAAGTCGAAAAACTTATACGAGACCACCTACAACAACTTTGAGGCTAACGGCCCAGCTACGTCGAAACACCGACCGGTTCCCATTTGAACACCGAAGTTAAGCGACGTAAGGCGATGCTAGTGGATGGACGGGTGACCGGTTCGAAACTCTGTATCGTGCTGTTGTCCAAAAAGAGGCAAAAGTGTAAAATCTATTGACACACACTGCTCATTCACGCCGGTTAGAGGCCGGATGAGATCGGATATCTCGTGAGTAAGAGTCGATTTAGACACTTGCCAAGTCGGTAGGCCATTGACCATGATATAGCCGAGGATCGCGGTTCGGATTCCGCGTAAACAAAGTTGGCCCCGTCCGGATTAGCCCTGGCAGCAAAAAGGAGACGTTAACTGAAATCTTTACTTTTTACAACTTTGAAACCTGGGTCAAAGAAAAACATGTTGAGAATTTCACAGAAAAGGTATTGCTAGCCTATTTCCTGAAGTTATTCACTACCTTAAAGCCGACAACTCTGTGGAGTAAATATTCGATGCTCCGCACCATGATTTACCTGAACAGAAACGTAGATATATTAGCAAATTCACAAACCTTATTGCATTTTTAAAAAGAAAAGCTTCCGGATATCAGGCAAAGAAATCAAAAGTATTTACAAAACTGGAAATAGAACGCTTTATGAAAAAAGCCGATGACACAAAATTCCTGTTAGCTAAAGTTGTCTTAATCGTTGGAGTATGCATGTAGGTGGGAAGAAATCACGTTTTTGACCGTAGATGCCATTAAAGATTGTCAGTCATTTATTAGTGTGAAGATTCCAAATACAAAAACTCATTTCCAAGATTGTTTACGATTACTGAGGGACCAATAGATGGTATCAATTTCTTACATGTAGGTATTTCGTAAGCACGCAAAACTTCGACCACTCAATGTGACACACCACCGATTTTTCATGACATATCGAAAAAATCAATGCTGTACCCTGCCAGTTGGAATCAATACAATTGACTGTAGAGGAATTTCTTGGATTCTCCAACGCCATGGAATACACTGGTCATTGTTTCCGGCGCAGCTCTGCAACAATGCTGGCAGATACAGGAGCGGACAAAACAGTTTTAAAGCGACATGGAGGTTGGCGATCAAACTCGGTTGCTGAAGGTTACATTGAAAATTCATTTGAACAGAAAACCGAAATAGCAAAAAGAATTATGGGCCAGAAAGATACGCCAAATAAGAAATTAAAAGCAGTTCACGTAGAAGCAGAAGCTACAAACATTGCCAGTACAAGAAATTTACTTATTCCGACTCCTATAACTTGCATTTCTCTTAGAGACGAAAAGTTGGATGCCTCTTGTATTCACTTTAATAATTTAAATAATTGTACCTAAGATTTATAATAAATAAATATTTTCACTGTTTGTAACGTTTCATTTTTTACTTTTAGGCACTGGTGCCTAAACAAGGCCTAAACATTATATCATTTTTAGATACTAGTGCCTAAAACAATGTCATTTCGAATCTCAAATAAATATCAAAAACTGTCAATTTCGAAACGCTTTCACAAAAAGGAAATTTTGACATTTATCGATGTCCGTCAATAAAATTATAACCTAAAATCAAATGCCAACTACTAAAAAGAATACGCAGTAATACTCAAAATGCCGTAATGACGTCACCGATCTCTTTCATCTGGTTGGCAAATGAAGAAATTTTAACAATATGTGAGATGACGTTGAACGATGGCTGAACATTCTAGATATGTCTTATTTTTTGAGATATAAAACACAAGGAGAGGTATATAATATTCTTAGCTTGAACTTGAACGATTTAAAGTAACTCTATATTTACTCTATAAAAATACGATACAACACTTTTTTGCCGTAAAATCCATACTAAAGAAAAGAGATTGAGAGTGGGGGTTCAACTAATCATACCGCTTACAGTTTTCTAGATTTCTATTAAAATATCCAAAATCATATTCTTAAAGTTTCTTCAAAAACCACATTTCTTTTCATTTGTATGATTAAAGTCAAACGAGTCTCTTATACATTCTCTTGATGATTGGAAGATTTATAAAAAACACACAGGCTTTCTGTATTTTATGCCATATTGCTAAGAATTTTGAAAGTTAACCTACCAAAATCATAATCTAATCAAGTATCTGGGTTGTCACGTGTCTGCCCTGTTCGGGTCGTTCATTCAGCATTAACATACCTACTCTCCGTCAATTTTTGACTGTTTCCTCCGCACCACTTCTCTCTGTCCTTACCTATTCATACACAAAACGTGTATGAAATCTTTAAAATTTAAAGAAATCAAAAACTAACATGGCCTTAACATGTAAATAAAGAACTGTGGTGTTTTCAAAAATGACGATCGATAACATTTCCCAAATATTTTTTGTATAAAATTACAGTGATCTTTATTTCAAAGCCATTTCGGACACCGTTTTGTTTTCGATCGATTATACCACCTTCGCTAATAGACTTTTTTAATGAATGAGTGTCAACCTAGCATTTTTCTGTTTATACATATTTGGTTTTTATATCGGGGGTATATTGTTTTTCCTGCTTTTGGTATTGTAAAGTCCATAGTGCACCGGATTTCAGTGCCCGGCTTATCTCAAAGCAGGTCTCATCACTTTCATTATTTTCATTAACAACCGCTTGCAGGAAGGGGGAATCTCATTTAACATTATGAATCTATCCTGTGGGGATCTATTATGTCTTTTTATTAGCTACTGATAATGTTCATATTAAACTGATACAAAAACGTACTACTAGCGTTATGAAATGAATCGGTCTCGTTTTGAATTTGGTAAATATTATATGTTATATCCATAACTCACAGCTCACCCACAAAAATTTCCGCATGGAGGGAGTTTGGAACTAAAGAGCCAAATAGAATATAAAGGGCCAATAACAGAATCATAATACGAAATATCAAAATGATATCGTTTGGAATGTATATCCCGAATCCTGAGCGAAGTGAGCAAGTATCAACTATAGTAGTTTATATACCATTAATAATATTTCTAATTATTCCAACCTTGTTTATGTGCTAAATAAATAAAATACGTTATCATATTAATGTTTGTATTGATATTGAACTTACCGCATCTAAATTGATATCCGCTAGGGCGTTAGATACGCCGTTGGGCATATCCGAAGACAAGCTGGACGGGGCCAGCGTTGTCTCCTGCTTCGCAATGGAGGCAGTGGCGGTGGCCACGTAACTCGCCGTCGAGGACGTGGCAGCGCCATTTTGTGGCTTTGTGGCGTCCAAAAGGACCTTTAAGGACGCAATAGCGTGCAGTTGTGTCGCTTTTTCGTCAACTTTTCCTGTAAATGAACAAACCCGGAACTAAACCTCTATTTTTCGATAAATATCTTTGTTAAAAACAATAACACGAACAAATGCATTCTATTGGTTGATAAAATCACATCGACTTGCCGACAGAAATATGCATACCTACCTACATATTCACTTAAGTTTTGTAACAAGGCGTGTTTGAGCTTTGAGCTCAATTCAAATTTCATTTAAAAAATGATCGATACTGGCGAACAGGCGATCTGACTGCTGGCATGTGTATGAGAACAAGCGAGCCAGGTGAAATGCGATTATTCAAAAACGAAGATACCCAGCTGGTATATACCTATAGATTGATAGATTCTTCGAGATGGCTATCGGCCTGATCCACTGCGACCTTTCCAGATCTATTGTGGTCCTCTTCTGATCTTTAGATTACATTCTTCAGTCCTATTTCACAAAGTCTATGTAATATAAACTTAAAAGTAACAGTTATTGCGGGTCAATTTTCGTCAGGTTTCTTTTCTCACTGATCAGACTTTCTTATTTTTATTAAGTAAATTAAGATGCTATCCAAAATCTTAACATGCTACCTGTAAAACAAATAATACGATCGAAATAAAACGGCATCAGAGATGGCCTGGAAACGAAGGTAGCTGTCATTTTGTATATGAGTAATTTCCAAGCCAATTGGACGCCGTGCTTTTTCGATCATCAAAAATATACCGGGTGCGTCTCGAAAGTGGCTCAACCCTATAAATTTATTATTTTTTCAGATAAAAAAAAAGATTTGGTATGTTGTAGAACGTAGAATGAGTGAGAGGGGATCTCAAAATCTATTGTGCCCCTTCCTTGAGTTATAATTCCTCACACAGTCTATAACCCATCATACATTTTCCTGTTGTAGGGGGGACAGTGTATTTCCAATCATCCTCGGACAACAGATGTCCTTCCTTCGAGGGTACACGCCCTTCCACGGATGGAGATTGGCCCTCCGTGCCCTTTACTGTCGAGGAGTTTTCCTCCGGCCGAGGTACCCGTGGAGTGAAGGGTGGAGGCTGGAGTATATGTCTCCATTTTCTCTACCTCTTTAACTTGATCTCTCCTTAGACCTGATACCGGTGTTGTTCTGTATCTATAATAAAGGATATAATATGTCTCTCTTTCTCTATTGCCTCCTTGGATTTGAAGTCAATTCTTATTGTGAGGACTTGACCATGACCATGACCCTCCTCCCTCGAGTTGATGACTCGCCAACTTATTGGTCAACAATTTGGTATGTTAGCATAAGACATAAATTAGGATTGATTGACGTATTCAATTGTTTTTTGGTCACTTCCTGTTTCACCGGAAATGACTACAACTTTTGATTTTTAAATAGCACTCTCGGTATATTTTTACTTTATTCGATAGAAAATGACACTGAGTAGAATGACATATCATATGTCAACTTTTGACATTTTCGCTTAAAACAAATCGAATTTTAAATTTTAATCTAGAGTGCCATGGCTCATGGCTGTGTTAAAAACACTAATTTTTAATCAAGGAGCCTTGGAAAAATAGTTTTGATCGTCTAATGTTTATCGGGTTTTGTGCTGGCCGGTTAAAAAGATGCCCATATCGTATTTTTAATCATATCTCATTTTTTTCAAGTGGAACGAGTGTGGCTCATAAGCATATTTGGAAAAAGCATTTTTACGAGTAAAAACTTTTTTTACGAGTAACACTTTTACTTTATTGTCGTTAGGAACCGCATGTTACAATGTCAAGTAAATCATATGCGCCAAATAAATCATATGTCAAAAGTTCACATCTGATACGTCATTCTATTCAAAATGTCGTTTTCTATCCAATAAAGTAAAAAATATCGAGGTTCCATTTAAAAATCAAAAGTTTTAGTAATTTCCGGTGAAACAGGAAGTGAGCGAAAACAATTGAATACGTTATCAATCCTAATTTATGTCATATATTAACATACCAAATCTCGTTTTTATATCTGTAAAAATAAAAAAGTTATAGGGGTGAGCTACTTTTAAGACGGGTTCAAAATCCTACATTTTCCTAAACATAGAAATATATAATTCTATTATAATAAACTATCACGTAACTATAAAAGCTATAATACTGAACTATGTAATAATAGTAATAATACGTATAACACAATATACTCATTGACTATAAACATTTTATACAGTTAAAAAATAAATTGGTGTGTTTATCATGGCATTTGATTGGTGAACAATTGGTGGCAGAAGTGGGATTTCAAGAGGATTTTTTATTTATATTCAAGAAGATTGGAATAACTACTAAAAATCGAGTTAACCAAATCACACTTTTACTGAAGAATGCATATCGCTTTTGGATATTTTTTTATTATTGAAACACTTTATGGCATACTTGTATAGACTGTAGTTCATGTTAATGACACGATTCACGAAAATATTTGGCCATGTTGCTGCCGATGGCAGTTATTTGAGTGACAAATATTGGATAAATTGCAAAAGATTTAGAAATGAGTCATCAGAAAGAGAAGGAGGAAGGACAGAACCGTCTCTAAATGAACTGTAGATATTCCAGGAACGTGAGTAAAAAGTACGTTGACAGAAAGGCAGGAATGGCAGTATCACTTGAAAGAGGGTATTGTTATTGGAGACGTATGGCATCAATATATCGTTGACCTAAGAAGAAAACAAGGAAAGAAAAAACTAATTTCCGTAGGAATTCTACTGTTTATATGTAGCTCGTTGTTCTAATTCTAATTTAAATTATAACAAAATGCAAAACATTTATCACTAGCTTATAATTATAACGAGACAGTACATTTTCAACACACCAAATAGCATTTAATTCCAGCTAGTCACATACTGACACTGATAAGAGAAAAAATGTATAAGTCTACCTGCATACTGACCATCATGAAGGGGGTCTATTGTGTGTATCATAAGTTGAAGGAGGCCATGTCTGAATTTTGCTCCTGTGTGATGTCCTGAAGTAGAGGCAGGTACCTGTGGTGTTTCAGAGGCAGTACGCGAAGTAATGCTTCCGCCAGGTTGCGTTCCCACGCTTGTTTCACTAGATGTCGCTACAGTGCCATGCTGCAATAAAATACAACATTGATTACAAACAAATACAATAATAGAAAACTGATTAAAATATATAAATTTTAACTTTAAGTTAGTAAAGTTGAACCATGAGAAAACTAATGTAATATGGAGAAAAACAATTAAAAAAGGCTTAAAATCATAGGTGTGACATATTTAACCAATACATACAGCTTGGTTAGATATCTGAAAATTTTACCACCCCCCATGCAATTGACAGACTACGAAAAAAATTGACAGAAAAAAAATGTCAAATATGTTTTATATAGTACCTATTAAACTTGGACTTTATATGGACTAAACACAATAGATCTCTAAGGTCGCGGTGAATAAACCCTTCTCCTAAAGAGATAAATTAAAAATAAGTAAAAAAGTTCGTATAATGTATGTCCTAAAATGCTTAGTTTGGGAGATACAAGGTGTAGAAATTTAATTTTTATTTCGGTTTTTTCCAAATAATTTCTGAATTAACGTCAATTTTTTTTATGAAAATTAGTGTCTGGGAGTTTTTTGACATGAGAAATTTTATTTTGATGTCTATATGACTCTTACTTCTAGAGGGCGCCACATACATATTTTTAACTGGTTTGAAGTCATTTTTAACTGGTTTGAAGTAACTTTTCGTCCTTACTTGTATAAAACGACCGAGTGAAAAAATATACATTTCCGTGATTTTCTACGTAAAAAAATGTCTCTTCCGAACCCTGCTCGCATCTTCAAAAAAGCCATAAAACAATGAAAGATGCGAACGATGTCAAGAATATAGTGTGACCAACGGATCTGAAGCTACGGGGTATCGACAGGGGAACGCAGTTGTAAACAAAACACGCCCAATTTCATTCATAAAATAGTCATGGGCGTACGGTGTTTTATGAAAATAATGTGTATTATAAATCTAATATTCAGATTAATAATTTTTTTCAAAAAACTTTATGCTGTTTGAATCGTTACTGTTGAGTTAAAGTAAGATAAACACTAAAAGCTTTTATTAAAGCTCCCTTAAATATTTTGAATCATTTTATTATGTGTTGTTAATATAATAGAAGAAATAATTACAGCTGGGGGTTGGAACATTTGGTGTTACACAGCAAAATAAAACACTAAATCAGCACAATACACCAAAACACTTTTACTTTTACACTGGACGCACGTTTCGCTAACCATGTTAGCATCATCAGCAGATGATCAAGACTGAGTCTTGAGGTATATTTATTTATATATCTGTACTAACTATATTTTTTTCTATAATACATCATTTTAGATACAACTATTTTCAGCAAAAAAAATCTTGAAAATAGTTAAAGGAAGCGCAAACAAAACATAATTTTACTCACCAGTAGCAAAGTAGATCGAATGCCTATTACACCAGATATGGTATCGCTCCGCCAGACTTTTTAAAGGTTAGGTCCTCGGTTAGGTCATTGTCTACCCATATATGTTTCATCGAAATAGATAATACTTGGCGATATTTTCGAATTTTGCGTATATATTTATATCTCTCTCTGCAATATAATGAGCCGCTCCATTAATATTTATCTGTTATTTTGACATTTACGCCAAAAAAATCCATTTGATTTTAATAACCTCCTAAGCGTTTTCCTGCCAAAGGAAAATTCGATTCTTCCTGCAATTTTTGCAAAAGTTTTATAATTGTGCGGACGGCTTTGAATTCGAGATAAAATCTATTTATCAAATTCCTGACCACTTGGAAACCAATGTCGTCGAGCTTTTCAACAGCAGTCTCACGTGGTCGTTTCTTTCCAGGGCTGGAGAACATTTTATCGCGGTTAGTTTCCAGCCTTTTTTTATCTTCTGTGTGAATTTTTTTATAGCTGATACGCTAGCTCCGGTATAAAGAGATATCCGCTCAAGTTTACGTTTAAGCGGCAACTAAAGCGAACTCTCTGTAGCTTCTTCATCGCAAACCCTATTATGAACACAAGAAAATAAACCAAATAAGATTTCATCCACGTTTATTTATATTTATTTTAGTTTAGCGAAAATATTTAGGTAAAAAGTGTGCTTTTCTTTTTAGCCAATATTTAATTTTAATATTCTAATAATTATATTATTATTATTCTACTTACGTATATAAATTTGCTATTATTTCTCTTGTCTTGCTATGTACCGTCTTACCCTTAAAAAAATTTATTCATTTTAAAACACAAATATACGATCAAACTTATTATTAATAATTAAAAACTACGAACGAAAAACATTATAACAAGATAACAAAACAATAAACAATTACTTAACAACTTAACTATTAAATATACGAAAATATAGGAATCAAGTTTAGGATAACCGGTATAAAATAATGAAAGAAAGTAATAATGATCAAAAGAATGACACCGCCACTGGATATTTCAATAGTATTCAATATTCCTACTCTTTTCAGAAAAGACCGTGAAGTTGGGGATAAAGCTAGCGAATAGAAAAGGCGTAAAAGCCATGGCAACCGTGTGTTAACAAATCATGTGACGTAGTCTCGCCAATCATGTTCGATGAATAGGCGGCCATGCAAGCCGGCTTGCCGATGATATCCTTGAAAAATCTTCACCTTTCATAATAAGCAGATTATACAGAATGAAAGAAATAAGTTATTAAATAAAACATATCAAACAATATGAACTACGTTAAAATTCCTTAGAATACGTCAGAATTATATGCCAACACATTATATAGAATAAAAATATTAAATTCAAAGTTCATGTCTGGCAATTTTCCAATTTTGTAGATAAACGTGGCAATATCGATTTTTTTTCTCGCATCCCTTCCGTAGCTTCAGATCCGCTGGTCAAACAGTTGGTACCCAGATCGGCGTCGACTACCGGTAAACGGAAAACCTGCTTGCACTGTGTTTCCACACTAAGGGTGCGGAAAGCTGGTTGTAAGCACTTATTACCAGCGCCGAAAACCAGTGCCTACAAGAGTACACAATGAACGTAAAAAGTAAGCGCCAATAATTAAATGTGCTTTTGAACACACCCGCCCACAGAAAATACTTGTCGGCGCTTGCTGCCAGCGCCGACTTTTTACCGGAACGAATTTTTAATTCTTGTTCGCTTGTTGTCTGTTATTATAATAAATAAAAAAATAAAGATTTTCAACCCCTGTAGCTACGGAATAAAGCAGAATCGGACCTAAGTTGATATAATGTCTAAAAAAGCCTAAAAAAATAAATGTTATTTTTACATGAGGAGTATTCCCACGTGAGATGGCACATGTTTTTTGAAACACCCTGTTATTCATTATATTGTGTATGTTAGAAATGTAATCGAAATAGTTCAAAAGCATTATATCATTTTTGTTGTCATTCCAAGATTCCATTGTAAAAGTTTTAAATACTGTATGTAAAAATAATCGATTGCATGTAGAATGTCGATCAAAAAGAATTTACTTTTACATTATAAATAAATAATGCAAATGCAAGAGAAGGGGACGTTACTTCGAGAAAATTGTATAATATATAATCTTATAGTTGACGAGTTGTGAATAAAATAGCCTAAGAGCTGACGACATATTTAGAGAACATATTTTAGGCAAGCTAGAATAACTTAAAATGTATAGTTTATTAACTGGTGAACCCAGAATCCTAAGTCTGGCTGGGGGGTTGGGGGTATTTCGCTACTGCGCAACCCCTAACATTTGCAAAAAAATAAATCCAAAAAACATTCTTTAGGCAACTTGAAATTTGTTTATTCTTAGATTTTAGCATCTATTTAACCTAGAAATAAGTATGCCAGACTTTTTTTTCGGGTTTAAAGTGTAACCAGACCATTCCAAATATGTTTAATTATTATACCTAGAAAACATACTTTAGGCATTCTAACATTTTTATAGCGTGTTTATTACATGATATTAAAAAATATGTGTTAATTACCAGACGAATTCAATGGGATTTAATACTTGCCAGACGCGAATAAAGATTTTAAATGAGCGCGATAAGAAAGTCATATGAGTATCTATAAGCCCGAGAAAGATAGTTTATTGAGACCCGGTCGGCAGCCGATGCGGCTGACGTAACAGCATTTTGGAGTCGTAAAAACTTAGAAAAAACTTACTAATATTGAATAAATAAAAAGAAACATTTTTTAATAAAAATGTATGATTGAAATCCTTTCAATAAGAAGACTTTTTAATTTAAGTATTTTGTATCTGAAAGAATAAGAAGACGAATAATTATTTAACAATGGTAGGTACTTTAATAAAATTCCAGAATACTTATTTTTTTAGCACTATACATGGTACCCTTTTGTCGGGACTACGTTTTCTGGTAAAAGCACTTGTTTATATTTTAAGCCATGTTGTTGGCGCACTTTTAAAAATTCTTTGCATTTTTGCAATCTGCCTTCATCAAAAACAATAACTTTGTCACTAGTAACATTTTTCACAAACTACACAACTTAAATGGCTTTTATCCATTGTGATTTAGTTAGTAGCGAAATTAGTAGTTACTAAAATATCTATTTGTACCACTTAACTCCAACAAAATAATCAAAATAATCTCTGAAATAAAAACCTGCAAATAATTGAAATGAAACCGCAAAAAATTGTTTTTATGAAAATTTGAAGTACTCCAAAATACCGTTACGTCAGCCGCATCGGCTGCCGACCGGGTATCAATTAACTATCTTTTTCGCGCTTATAGATACTCATAAGACTTTCTTATCGCGCTCATTTAAAATCTTTATTCGCGTCTGGTAAGTATTAAATCCCATTGAATTCGTCTGGTAATTAACACATATTTTTTAATATCATCTAATAAACACGCTGTAAAAATTTTAGAATGCCTAAAGTATAGTGTGACCAACGGATCTGTAGCTACGGGGTATCGGCAGGGGAACGCAGTTGTAAACAAAACACGCCCAATTTCATTCATAAAATAGGCATGGGCGTACGGTGTTATATGAAAATAATGTGTATCATAAATATAATACTTAGATTAATAATCTTTTTCAAAAAACTTTATGCTGTTTGAATCGTTACTGTTG